GGGCTTTGTATTTATTTGTTTGTTTGTTTGTTTGTTTGTTTGTTTGTTTGTTTGTTTGTTTGTTTGTTTGTTTGTTTTCAGAACAAAGGGCTTCACGAGTGGAACTTCAGTGCCAAATCTGTTCGAGGTGTCAGGTTTGTGTTTTGGTTTTCCTTTCAAATTTAATTCAAAACTTTCAAACCATTMTTTGAATTTCTGAAAGTCTTTTAAAGTGTCTTTGATATCATTTTTTGTTAAAAGTATGAATGCATTTTTGAAAAGATTACATTAAAACTTTTAGCAAAATAATTTCATGCCACTGAGATGAACAGTTGAGATATTTAACTGAATATCTAACAAATGTAAAGTAACAGGAAGTGATGTCAAAGGGGAGTGTCTGCACATAAACAGAGCGTTGCTACAACAGATAACAGACTGTAGAGAAGAATCTGATGTTTCTTTAGATTATTTTGAGTCTCTATCAGGAAGACGAAGAGTCAGAGTTCAAAWAATATTGTTTCAAAAACAAAAAACAGAGTTCCTTTTTAAAGAGTTCCCCTATGATGTCACTTCCTGTGTCTCTTTGGCTGAGACAAGTTAAAAAACTAAGCCATTTATGTGACAAAATGGGTCAAATCATTTGTATTATGAACAGTTTCTTGAATATAAAGATGTTTTCTTTGACTTATATTTGAAGGATATGTATGTTACAGGTACTTTAAAGATTTATCAAAAGGCAGAGGTGTATGGTAATTAAGTACATTTACTTTGTTACAGTACTTAAGTAATTTTTTGAGMATTTGTATTTTTCCCAAGTATTTATTGAAATTGTAGCTTTTACTTGCATTTCATTACATTTAAAACAAAAGATGCCTTTTACTTTTTTACTTACATGCCACAGTTTTAAATATGACCAAACTCATAATGAAAGAAGTTGTTCATGCACTCTAAAAAATGAAATAGTGAATTTATTTGATCAAGTTATGTCAACTAGTTCTGCTAAATCGAGTTGAGTAAATGTAAAGTAATTTTCTCAAATTGGTTTAATAGAACCAGTTGGATTAAGCCATTTCAACATTTCATTACTTAGAGTGCAAAAGTAATTTGAAGTTCCTGATTATTGTGAGCAGTTTTATGACTTTTACTTAAAGGGGCAATATCATGTAAAATCAACTTTTTTGAGTTTTATTTCATGTTATAATGTTATACTCATAAAAAACATGTCCAAAGC